AAGGCCCACGCGGCGCACAGCACACGCAGGGCTGTCTCCTTGATCATGTATATAAAAGCAAACAGCACTGAGTGTACGTTCTAGGTTTCCTTTAAAAACAAAATTGTAACCTTTTTTTTAAAAAATGTAAAAGGGAGGATATGCTCACAGAGGATCAAAGGCACCCAGGACATAAGGTCTGCAATGACCAGTGGCTCTTCTCCACACACCAGCCCCATGCCCCTTCCTTGGAGCCAACTTCAGTTAGCCAAACAGTGAACCAGTTATTGTATTTTTCTAGGAAGAAAGAAGGGGTTTGTCCTGTCTGCTGTGGGGTTGTCGTCACCCAGCCAGGGAGCACGAGCTGGAGAGTCCAGGAGAGCCTGCCCCAACAAGGGGCTCTTGTAGCCTCAGTGGGGTGGACGTGGAGCAGTGGGCGAGGGCTTGGCTGGGGGCCGGCAGAGGTGATGGTTGGCATTTTAACAGTGGCTTGGGAAAGTGTCCCCATCACCCCAACAACAAGGCAGCACACAGTCTGGAAGAGGCCAGCCCCTTGGCAGGTGGTGTTTTGGCCATTTTAACCCCAGGCCCTGTACAGCCAGCACACTGGGGCTTTGTGGTGGGGCCGAGTCTTCTAGGAGGCTCAGGTGTTGAGCACAAAGCTCCAGATGTGCCCTTAGTGAGCCCAGCTGATGGGGGACAGGCCGTGGGGCTTCTGAAAGGGACCAAAGCCTCTCCCCTAATTCCATCCATGGCAGGGCAGAGGGTAGCCAAATCGGTGCGTGCAGTAGGTCTCTGCGTGGCCGCAGGCACTGCTTGTCCTCTGGGTGGAGATTCTGAACACACAGGTCTTCTAAAGAGGCAGCCTCTCATGAACCCGAGACCCCAGAGGACAAGGTGGCAGTGGCAACGTCCCATCAGGGAGCCTGTCCCTCCCTCCCGCCAAGGCTGCTGTTGCTCTTTTTTTTTTTTTTTTTTTACAGGAACAGCAGCAATGATGTCACCACGCAGGAAAGGCTGCACCTCAGAGACCTCCTGGTAGGCAGGAATGAAGAGGAGCAATGGGCTCCCAGTCTCCTGCTCAATGGAGGATGCACGTGAGCTGGCTGGAAGAGGGATGAGCATTCATCTGTGTTTGGGGTTTACTAATCTCTTCTCTTCTGCAAACAGATTGATTTAACAAGGCCCCTCTGCCTTCATCTGGGGTGTCGCCCCTGGACACCCTGGATGGTCATGCTTCCCATGATGAAATATGGAGAGCATTCCTTGATTAAGAGGGGAACCCCCCCCTTTTACCAGAAAACAGTCCCCAGGAAAGGAACTGGGTGCTCATGCAGTGAATAAGCATCTGGCGTGTTCTCTGCCTGGCAGCCTGCTGCTCTGCTGCCTTTGCTGCGGCTCTAGGTAGGACCCACGCAGCGCCAGGGCCTCGTTCAACACTATTTCCCTTGCAGGAACTCATAAATATTGGCTGGCTGTCCAGTGGCCATGCGTGTTGAGAGCCACAGTTTAGTCGAAATGATGCCTGGCATTTTGCTAGAGGGAATGGTTGAAAGTGACCCTGCTCTGGGATTAGGGCGGCTCCGGGGATTAGGGCGGGTGCCTGCTACTTTGGAGTTCTCTCGGTTCCGGGAGAATTGGCTGGTGTAGCTCAGTGGAGGGAGTGTGTTCCCGGGAAGTGTGTGTAGAGTGCTGGTGAGAGTTCGGGAATAAAGAGTTGCTGTTTGAATCTACTTGGTTATTTTGTGCCCAGCCAGACTGAGGCACGTGGGAGGTCCCGATGGCAGGAGACTCAGCCTGATCACAGATGGGCAGCACAGGGGTGGGGGCCGCTGTAGACTGGGTGGTCTTACCTGGTCCCTGGCACCAGAGGACCCGCCTCAGGATGAGGCAGCCAGGATAACTGAATGGACCCAGAGAAAGTGAGAACCTGGGACAGGGGAGCACAGCAGTGTGTGCCTCAGCCTAGCTGGGACATGGGGGCTGTTTCTTCAGAATCTTGGGGATCTGGTTTGGAAGCCACTCCACCTCTGAGTGTCTCTAAGTTGCTGTTCGGGGGCTGGATTTTGTGGTCAGTGACTAATGTGCAGGTGCCTGGCCTGCAGCGTGGGAGCAGTGTTAACAGGAATTGAGTGTTCAGGCAGCCAGAGTCAGAAATCGGGGGTGCCAAGGTGCCAGGTGCCAACTGTTGTTCATACTGGGCTTTGGGGGGCATTCCACAAATCTCCTGGCTCCCCATGAGGATTTAAAGATCAGTTAAGTGAGGCCCCTCTTGGAATCCTTCTGGAAAACTTAGGTGCTCAGTCTCCCAAGTCCCCGGTTAAGTCCTGGTTGTCCCTGTGGTGGCTTCCTCAGCAGGGCCACATCAACAGCCCCCTAGCAATCCTCTAGGGTCACTTATCAGAAGGGTCTTCTCAGGGACCCCAATGCAGGGGGACTGGAAAAGGATGGGAAGGGAGGCTGGAGAAGGGTCAGGAGCCACACTGCAGAGCTGGGATTTCATCAGAGACGGGCAGAGGGGTTTCACCAGGGGGTGAGCAGGTCTGTCTGGCAATGGTGACTCTGGCAGCAGGATCAGACGCAGTGAGGCCACAGGAAAGGAGACAGGGCTGCCATTGCCCAGGTGGGAGACGAGGGCCTAATTAAAGAGCAGGAGGCTGCCTAGGGAGGATTAGCTTCTAGAACTCACTGGCAGGTGCTCAGGACCAGCTGGAAGTGGAATGCAGAAGGTGACCTTAGGTGACGCCAGTCACTGCAACAGGAAATAGGAGAGGAGGGAGGGGACTGGCGGGAGGTGGGATTTAGGGTCATAGCCTGGGCATGTTGCATTTGAGGCTCTGCCTGGAAACACGGACGCCAACAAAAGAGCTCACAGGGAGTCAGGCCTACCTGTATGTCAGGCAGACTGACATCGGATCCTCCCAACAGCCCCATAGAATAGGCACTGGGTGCAGTCAGTCCCCTTTTGCAGATGAGAAAGTGAGACAAGGTAAATTAAATAACTTGCCTCAAGTTGCACAACCAGGAAGGGCCAGAGCCAGGGCCAGGACTTGACCCCAAGCCTTCTGGGCTCAGAGCCCTGCACTGCTAACACTAAGCTACACTGCTGCTTTGTGATGTTGGGAAAGCTGGGTCCGGAGCTCAGGGCAGATTCAAGCTGCAGCCTTAGACAGACATCGGAAGCCAGGATTGTGGGGGAGATGGCTCGGGACCTGTAGAGAGGGAGCCAGAGAGCGTGTGTGGTGTCCAGCTTGATCTCTGGGTTAATGGCAGAAGTAACCCCACCAAGGATGCACCTTAAAATGTGGGGCACCTTGGGAATGTGGGGCAGGGTCTTAGGCATAGCTGGTTGAAGCCGCGTCAAGATGAGGCCTCAGGGGCACTGGGAAGGGTGGCTCCCCAGGGGACCAGTCTGTGGCAGGCACTTGCAGTCCAGACGACTTAGAGGAATCCCAACTCTTCTCCAGGAGACTGGCCCCCGTGGGCCTGCCCACAGCTTCCTCTTTCCTGAAGACTCAGTCTAGTGTTTTAAAAATTCCCCAAACCCCGAGCTGACGAACTGGAGGAGGCTTGAGAACGTCTCATGTGATGTGATGAGGAAACTGAGGCCTGGAGAAATCGAGGGACGTCACCCAAACTGTCCTGTTAGGTGTAGCAGCAGAGCCATGACTCTCTGTGGGGAGCCTGTGTGACCACACCCTCCCTCCCCTTCCCGGCCGTTTTCTTTCCCTCTTGCCTGGCAGAGCCTTTGGGGGCTTCTCGAAGCTTTTGCTTTTTAGCCCTTTTTCCCCCTTGGAAAGCTGCAGGCAGGTTCTGCAGTTCATAAGCCAGAAGAGGAAGAGGGAGGGAGAAAACTCAGGCCGGGAGCTGGAAGCTTGCTGTCCCACACCCGCCCTGCTGCTTCAGCCTCCAGGCTCCAGGGCTGTGGGCCTGCACAGGTGCCTGGCACAGGATTCGACACCCAGCGATGGCTTGGCTGCTGTTCCTCAGCAAAGAAACAGGCAGAGCCTGTGGTCATCAGAGGTCCTTGCCAGGGAAACGTGGCTGTCTTTGGGCCGTCCTCCCTAGCGCCCATGACTCAGAAGGTTGATCCTTTTCCCAGTAGGATCATCGGCCCTGAAGCCTGCAGACTCGGGCCACACCCACCCTGCTGATGGGCACCTGCACCTTAACAAGAGCCCCAGATGATTCGTATGCAGCTCCCACTCTATTCCTCTTCCCTAGAAAAAAGTTTCCTCCATTGCTGGGACCAGGATATGTCACCCAGCAACCTCACCCCTCTCCTCGTGCTGCTGCTCCTGTTTCCCCCCAGATCCTCAAAGAGGCAATTTAGCAATGGTAGTTATGCAAAAAAGCTCTTTGCTTTATAGGACAAATACCAGGCTTTTCAAGGAGATAGAAGTCCAGCTGTCTATACCAGGGGGAGTTGGTTCCAGGACCACCCCTGCCCCTATGGACACCAGTGCTCAAGTCCTGCAAGTAAAAGGCCTGCACTGAATTCCCCACACCCTCCTCTGTGCTGGGCCCATCTCTAGATGACGTCTACTACCTAGTGCCACATAGACGCGGTGTAGGTAGTCGTTACACAGTGCTGCTTAAGGAATAATGACAAGAAAAAAGTCTGCATGATCATTCTGATTTTTGATCCAGGGTTGGTGGAATCCACAGACATGGATGGAGTGACAGGGCATTAGGGACAGGAACCCCAAAGGTTCCCAAGTCATTATGGCTAAAGACCATCTGATCCCTAATACTACTGAGATGACCCGTGTCGTTAACAAAAAGCTCCCCGACCCAGGGAATTCAGGGACACCACAGTTGGGCAAACCGTTTTAGGTATTCCAAACATTAAGGGCAATTCCCTAGTGGACAAGTCTTCTAGAAACTTCCTTCCGCAGCATTTCCTGGTACAGGAGGTGGCCCCACGTGTTCCCTGACTGGCCCTGTTTCGCTGATGAGGACCAACCAACAGTCTATCTTGGTGTTTCCTTCTGATGGATGATAAAACACACAGGAGTCAATTTTTTTTTTTTTTAGACTTTTTTGTTTTGGTTTGTTTTTAGAGAAACTGCATACATCATCAGAGACAAACAATAATTTAAATACCATGCAGTTTCTGTATGTACAAAACCGAGGCCGTAGAGATCCAGTTTAATTTGTGTCGTATGTACATCATCTCCCTCATACAGCCGTCATCTGTGAAGTGGAGCCCGGGAGGGCACGGATTGACGGTCGCCACACTCACTCCTATACAAAGACAAACTATGTACACACACCCAGGAAGCAACTGGAGAAAGCAACCGGTTTGGGGGTTAACAGACCAACGGGAAGGAAAAGTCATGGCAGGTGACCTTTACCCACCGGCCGTGCACGGGGGGAGCCTGCAGCTCCCTTCATGGAAGCCACACACCACGATGTTCATTCGGCAAATATAAATACATGTTCATAAAGCGGGAGAAAAATAAACCCAAAGCTTTCCTCACGTTCAACGCCTCGTCGTTGGTAGTTTCTCTAATCGGACAGAAAGGCGAATGTTTCAAAAGTGCTACAGGGCTCGGGGGCCTTGGGGATGAGGTTATCAGAATTTTGAGAAAGGAAGTTGGCCAATGGCTGCGTCTTTTTTCATTAAGGGGGGCTTTGGGGTTGGGCTTGGAGCCATGTCTAATTTCGAGAGGGACAGAATTTGAGATAATACACGCTTCCCTCTCCCACGAATCCAGATGACACCATGCCCCACTGGGAACGTACATGCACCAACTCCAAAACTGCAGTACTTCCAGAAAAGTGATGCATTTTAAACCATCTAGCCCATCTCTTCCCCCTGCCCCCAATGAGTGTCCAATTGTCATCTTGGAAGGTAGCACAAGTTGCTTTTGGTGTCATGACAATGTGGCCAGAAAAATGTGGGTAGATGATCTCTCTAAAGACCTGGAGGTTTACAGGGAGACAGCAGAGGCCCTGTCCTGCAGGCCCCTGGGGTTGCTGAGGCTAAGAGCCACCTAGAGTGGGCTTGAGAGAGCTGATCCTGAAGGTGGGTGGCCTTTCAGGGACTGGGAGGTACACCCCTCAGTCTGAGAAAGTGACTTCTGGGAAAGGGTGCCCTGCAGGAGGAGGAGTGGAAGTGGCGTTCGGTTTCCTCCATGCAGGAAGTGGACTGCAACCCTAGGGCACTTTGGGTGGCCCACCCGGGCTGCTGGCTGGCTACAGGGAGCGGGATTTGGTCTTTCTATTCCTAGGGAATTTGAAGGCCCAAGACCCAAGGCCAGCAGAGATGCCAGGGGCCTTAGTGGGAGGAGTCTAGTCAGCGGAATGTATTCCCTGAGGACTCACTCCTGGCCAGGGGCAGGCCGAACTGTCAGGCCACAGGGCACCACGTGCCACTTTTGAAGCTCAGCTGCTGGTTAGAGGGAGTGCGGGCCTCAAGCCCAGGCAGGCAGGCACCTCCGCCTTGAAGGGGTGCCTGCCCCACCTGCCCTAGAGAAGTTCAACACAGGAGCCAAGCGTCATCTGTCATTCCATTCGAACATTCAAACTGTCAGTAAGCCTTTCGGGAAGACATTTTCCCTGAATACCTCTCCCAACTGCAGGAACTATTCAGATTCAACATTCAAAGAAAAAAGAAAGATCTAGTGATGGTGTCCAGTGATGGTGATGGTGTCTGCCCTTGGGCTGGGCAGAGGCGTGCGCGCTCCAGAGGCGCAAGGAGACCAGCGGCTGGGGGCACTGCCTGCAGAGCTGCCCTGAGCTCTCCCCCACATCTGTCTGGCTCCTGCTTGGTGCTGCCCACGGAGCCGTTAAGACTCTAGAAAATTCAACAGCCCCAGAGATGGGTGTTGCATCCCAAGGGTTCCTGGTCCCCCCTGGTTTGAGTGGGGACTTGTTGACTCTCTTTTGGGATGGCCAGGCCGGCAGCTGGCATCCTTCTAAACCCTGGGTGCGTGGGGTGGAGAGCTAGCCAGGGCCTAGAGGGACCATGGTGGCTCTGGATCCTCCACAGAAGGCAGGGAGAGCTCTGCTCAGAAAGAAAAGTGGGTGTTCTGGGTCTCGCTGGGATCCTGGGTAGGGTTTGTGGGTGTCCTTACTTCACCGCACACCCAACCCCGGTGTCCCTGCCGACAGAGTATTGCTTCTCTGTGGTCCCGGTGTGCAGGATGACGGTTGGAGACTCATCTCCAATCACCCTGCATCACAAGAGAGACAGGCCTCTCTCTGGATCAATGGAGCAGGAAGAGAGGGACACTTTGGCAGGCGTGCATGGCATCTGCCCAAACCTGGTACGTGCTGAAATCTGGGCTTCTCTGTGGAAGCTTTTCAGTGCAAAGAAGGGAGAACAGGAGGCCATAGAGTGGCACTGGGACTCCAGTCCCTCAGTGGCTGGGGAGCCAGGCTTACAGGAAGGGCTTCTGGCCTCCACGCATTGGACCTGGGCTCAGAGGACCGATGACTTCCAAGTCACACCATCCCGACTCTGGGTGCACAGGAAAAATGAACCCTGGCCAAGCAGAGCTTCCGACCAGCCTTGCTAGACTTCTCTGTTTGGCTCCACTTAGTGCCTGTGCTGCCTGAGCGAGGGCTGACCCCAGCTTGCATGGCCCCATGCTGTCTGCACATTATGGGAGTACCTTAGCCATGGCATTTGTGTGACACTGGGTGGGCCAATCAATTAGAACTGAGCAGATGACAACTCCCGCTTTTGAAACCAGAGTCTCCTGCGAGGCGGCTCAGCTCAGGCTGAGGGGGCAGGATGGGCGCTGCCTGCCAGCCTTCCGCCCCTACGGCACCCACCTGAGGACCCACAGACAGCCACAGACTCCCCCAGAACCCCCTGGGAAAAGGCCCTTCCATTCTGCTCACTGCGGGGATGGCCGAAGAGAAAGGACCAGGCCACGGAGAAGCCCACCCGGCTCTCAGCACCTCCCTCCTCGGGGACCCCCAGAGTGCCTGGCGCACCTGGCCAAATCTAGAAGGCCATCCGGACTGACAGCTGGGCACAGTCTCTGAGACAAGCTCATGCCTCCGCCTTCTTTCCACTCAGGTGACAGACCCTTATGAGGAAGGGTTTCACTGGAGACCAGGTGAGCATGGTGCCTGCCGGGCTCCGATGGCGAGGATGAGGACCGCTGGGCCTCCGGGAGGTCTTCCGCCAGGGCCCTGCCACCGGTGGGACGCGTTTCGGTACCCGCAGTGACGCCAGCAGCTCTGACCGTGCAGTGGTCACCATCACGTTTCCGCACAGAGAATCCTGATTGCGTTTCCTTTTATTTTTCTTCTTCTTCTTTTTTAAAAAAGGCAGTTCAGAAGATTTACATCGTAATGGGGAAGTGAATAAATACCAGCACTTATGGTTCTTATAAATTTATGTTTTGAAGACAGCATAGCACTCAAGAGGAATTTAACTGTTAAGGTCGATGAAACCTAGGAGACAAAGAACTTCATCAGGACCGCGGGGCCACCGGGGCCTGGCACCTGGCAATGCCACCCTCCCGTCCCCAGACACCCGGGTTGCAAGAGTGACAGGACGGTACGAGCCTCCCAGACCCTCCCCCTAGTACCTGAACTTCACCCAAACTCACCCCTGGTTTGGGGACAGTTTAACTGGACCTCCTGGGGCCCAGAGTGAGCAGCCCTGGTGACCCTGGGGGCTCAGCAGCAAGGTGGGAGGGGCCCAGATGGTGACTCTGAGTCCAGATTCCACATATTGGCTAAGTCCTGGTTCTCTAAATGACCGCCAAAGGAGAATAAGTAGAATCAAGTCGGTGGCTTTGTCTCTTAACCAGCCATGTGACCTTCATTTCTCCGTGCCTCAGTTTCCCCAAATGACATCCCACAAAGCTGTCTGGGTGAACAGCAGCACAGAGCAGCAGAAGTGAGTCTGCGTGGGAAGGCCCATATGGATCTGATGGGCCGTAAACACAGGGGTCTCTCCTCCTCGGCTTGTTCATAAAAACCGCCTCGGTTTGGGGCGATTGGCAATCTGGGGTTTGTCGGAGTGTTCATTTGAAGGAAGGAAGAAGCAGGTTTGGAGAAGGTTGCTTCGTGTCAGGGCCTTCAGCGTTCCTTGGGCGAGTTCTGGCAACCTAAAGTAGGCCTTCATGTTGCCCAACCTCTCATCTTCCCTCACCAGGCCCTTACCCAACCACAGGTGACCCGGGAGCAGACAGGAGACGTTGTGTTTGGAAGTAAACATTGCAATTTCAAGAGTGTGTGTGTGTGTGTGTGTGTGTGTGTGTGTATGTGTGTGTGTTGGGGGGGAGAACAAACAGAAACCCTTTGATACTGACCTTGTTAAGTGTCTACTCAATTCATGAACTTCCATTTCAGTGCTTTTAAATTCATTGAGCTCTTTCCGAATGGCAGCCTGGAAGGGAGAGCAGACTGTTAGGAGGCCGGAGGCAAGGGGTGGGGGGACAGAGGGACCCCTTTCCACTGCACAGCACACAACACCTTCTTCTTCCACAAAGCCACATGACTGTGTGAAATACCTTTTCATTGGAAGGGGGCAAAGTCACCCGAGATGTCCTTTAGAACCTTGCAAGATTGCCTTTCTTAGGAGGTCCTGCATTTGATGTGCCTTAAGGTCTGTGCTCTCTCTTTGTCCCCTTAGGTTACAAGAATGGCAGACACACTGACTGCGCCTTCCTGAGCTTTGAACGTCCCCTCCTGGGTGCAGAGGACAGAGCCCTTCATGTGAAGGTCTGTGATGAGCCTGCAGCCTCATGCTCTTGAACTGTTCTGTGCCTAGACCAGTGTCATTCTGTCCCTCTGGGCACCCCCTCCCAGGCTGCCTGCCCTGGTGTGAATGTGTCCCTGAGAAGTTCACGTGGTGGAAACTCAATTTCTACTGTGGGCCTTTGGCTGAGCTGCAGAGGGGAAGAGAAAGGGGCCCAGCCAGTGAGAGGAGCTGAGACCCCAAGGGTCCATCCATGAACTTTTAGTTGGGGTCTTTAAGAAGTGTTCAGATCATGAAGAGGGACTAATGTCTTTATCTAGGAATGGGACTAGTTACGGCCAGCATGGACTGTCATAAGCAAGGCTACCCGCTGTGTTTTGTCTCTAACATGTACCTACTTCCTTTTCCAACTTCTGCCATAAAATGGAGCAGCAGGAGGCCCTCACCAGGTGTGGCTGCCCAATCTTTGAAGGAAGTGAGAACCTCCAGAACTGAGTCCAAATAAACTTCTTTCCTTATAACATCATTCAGTCTCAGGTATCCTGTTATAGCAACAGAAAATGGACTAAGACGGTGCCCTTCCTCTTTCTGTAACTCAAGCACAGTACCACTGTCTGTCTTGTGAGTAGTCAAGCACACGTTCAGTGACCTCCCTGCAGATCACCCAGAGCTCCTGGGAAAAGGCATGGAGGAAGTTGCACTATTAGAACCCAGCTCTCAGCGCCCATCGTGGGCTAGGGTGGAGATTTTACTGCAGTCTATCAGGCTCCCCAGTGGCAAGCAAGAAGCCCCACACAAGACCCTGCTGCCACCCTCCAGGGGCTGCCCTCCCTCCTCTTCACCCACTCTGCTTACTTTGTCTGCAGCTGTGAGGCGAGTCCACGGCTTGTCTGCCCTCCGATCATAATCCTGAGCGTCAGCCACCTCCACGTAGTCACTGAAACGGATGAGGATTTTCCTTTCTCGAAGTTCTTCTACTGTGGGCCTTTGACTGAGCTGCAGAGGGGAAGAGAGAGGGGCCCAACCGGTGAGAGAAGTTGAGACCCCAAGGGTCCATCCATGAACTTGTAGGAGTGGAAAATGAGGTCCTCCAGAGAGGACAGCTTCACACCGCCAGTCCAGGCAGGGCCCTGTGGGGACCCAGGGCTCCCGACTCCTGGAACTGGACTTCTCCGGGCTCTGGGACCTTTTTAACCCCTTTCCGTACCTCCGGGTCTGTACGGCTTGACGCCAGCCTGGCTCTTCCTTCCCAGTTCTGCTGTGTTTTGGTCTTTGTAAGAAGGCTGGCTTTTTGTGTGGCTGTGGGTGCCTGTTCTGGACTTTTCTGCGTCCTTCACCCACCAGATGGCAGTCACCTTGTACAATAATTCTGTCTTATTTTGAACGTGTGAATCCACATCCTGTGCAAATTGAGGGCTCTCTTCAAGATGGGTTTGCAATACATTTTACATACACATGTGTGTGTCCGTGTGTGCATGTGCGTGTGTCTTAGACACCCACAAAAGTGTATGTACAGACATACTCAAGAAGGGCCAATGAAAGGTCAGTGGACAAAGGCACAGCTGAATGTTCGTGCCGCGGAAGGCTGTGGCTGGGCCCCCGGGGGCTAGTGAGGAAGGACTGCGAGAGGGAGGACGAAGCCATGTTTACTTAGTCACCTCCCGATATTGCCCCCATTGCCCTCTCTCTGTCCTTGAACAATGCGGGGTTGACATTTCTATTATCTTCACCTGTCCCAGTTTATTTCTTCTGGGGCGACACAGTCATCTCTTTGAGGATGCTGTCAATTCACATTCAACCAGTGTTATTTAAGAACACCTTTCCCTCCAGGCCTTGGATGGTGCTCAGTGCTATTAATATAAGACGACGTAGTCAGATAGTTTTACCACTCAGGCCCACCGAACGCCCACCCCCCACCTCCTCCTCCTCCTCCACCACCACCACCACCACCACCAGGGCTGCTCTGACTCCACCCTGCGGCAGCCTGTATCTTCCTCTGGGCCAGGAGTGGGAAGTTCTGGGGCCAGCCACCTCGGCTCGGGGAGCTGGCCCACTGGCCTGACTGCATGTCGCCACCCCTAGGGGGTCCCAGTCGGTCAGGTGGCAGCTGCAGGAGGCTTCCCAGGGCAGACAGCCTAATCCTGACACCCAATGTGCTCTCCAACATGTGAGAACAGGGGGAATTGGTACAAGACGCTTAATGTTTCCCATATTGAGCCTGGACGATCAGACCCCCACTCAGAACTCCCAGGGCCTATCCCTGGGGCACTGGATACACAATATGATTTTGTATATGTGACTCAGAAAAAGCCCCGATTTTGGAATTTATCTTCCTAGAAATCATGAGCTGGGTTTTACTAATAGTCTGTCTATGGCAGAGTCCTGAGGGGAAAGAGAACTCAGTGTAAAGGACTGAAGGGCAGAGAGGGTCGTGCCCGGGTCCCACGGGGCTTAGGCACCACCATGCCTGATGGGGAAGGTGCTGTACCCTCGTGCCGGGAGGGGACGAGTGAGGAAAGCTCCAACTGCTGCCCCTCAGTCTCAGGTGGAGGGTGGACCCTGACGCCAGCTGTCTCCAGGTCTCTCCTCTGTGACTGTGGGCTTGTCCCCTGACCACATGGAGCTCAGAAGATGTGCCATTAGCCTGTGGCTGGCCGCAGTCCTGGGGGCATCTTGAGGTCCTGTCTTGGATGCTAAGGAAATGATCCCTGTGGCCAGTGTCAAGTTTTCTGGGATGATGGACTGAGAGTAGGGGTGGGGCAGGGGTCGGTAGCAGCTGTATCTATATGTGGAAGCAAATATGCAGGAAAAACATAGCCGACTCAGATTCCCCAAATCAATACAGCCTAAACCCTCGTGCGTTCCTTCTCTTTCCTTCCCGTGTTCTCTCCTCCCATCCATCCATGCATCTGGCCGTCCATTCAGCTAACTAGACCCTCTTTTTTTTTTTTTCTTTTTGGAGTCATTTTTTGTAAGTATGTAATTTTGAGGTTATTCTCCATTTGGTCCACAGCAGTGACTTGGTCTCTTGCTATCATCCCCATTAGCTGGGTTTCATGTTTCTCCCTAGCACATTAAAAGTAAATTAAAGTTGGTTGAGGAGATCCTTGGGCTGAGCGCAAGGCAAGGAAAAGCAGCCACCACTCTTGGCATCTGGTCCTGGTGTGATAAAGGATCAAGAGAAAGGAGCTTGCCCAGAGCCGGGACAGGATGTGGGTTCACACCTGCCAGGAGGCGCCACATCTCTACAGGGACAGATGTGAAGGCTGCTTCCCCTTGGCCCAGCCTCTCCTCATCAGTAGCCACCCCTCAGCTCACACTCACTGTTTCTCCCCGACTCCCGGGAGGGTACCTCAAGGCCAGTTCCCTGGGGAGAGGGGGAGGGGAGTCAAGGGGAAAAAGCAATTATTGGGGGACATGCAAAATTCAGTGGCTATTTGGGGCTAATGGATCTCCATGTATTACCCACCCCAGGGGAGATGGGTGTGGGAAGCAGCCCTTTTCTCTTGCCCACCATGAAATCATGCAATAAGTCAAATTTCAGAGAATTTTGGGGTTTCAGTAATCAACTCTGATGAACTTGCTCCAAAGCAGATTTAAACCTTTTCTTTTTTTCCCAGAGCTTCTAGATGTTTCTATATCAGAAATGAGAGGTTATCACTAGGCTCTTTCTTCATACCCTTATCTGTTCAAGGACACATTTAGAAGAAGCCCATGTATTTCTTCTGTCCTTCCCACCACTCAGTCTCAGGAATAAATGTGCCATATGTACCAAGACCAGGGGCTCTGGAGGATGTCGGGGTCAGACCTTGATAGGTAACAGCAACTGGCCCAAGAGAGGTCCCCACCAAGGTAGCACCCGCCAGTCACCTGACCCTTCAGACCCTATTTTCTTTTAATTGGGTTGGTGTTTGACTTGTCACTAGATATTTGGGACACTTTTAGGCAAAGTGTTGGCGATTGAAGATATCCCCTTCATAAATGCTGTTTCAGGACCTCAGAGTCTCTTCTTTATAATAACATTTCTAAGAATAAAAATGCATTAATAAGTTTTTTTAAAAAATTAATTTTAATGGGTCTCTTTACCATCTTTAAAAGTGGAGTGCCTCTCTCTAAGATGGTCACTGTAGGGGGCTGATTAAAAACACTTTAGTTAGACAGAGATAGTGTTCTATCCTGTGCGTCACCAATTAATTAAACTTTTCAACAGCTATCCAAGAATAGCCACAAGTTTATTATTCAAGAGGCCACTCATGTAGTGTGAGATCCACGTGGGGTCTACACCGCAGTGCCAAACCATCTATTTTGGAGGCTAAAAATAAAATAAAAATTTGAGCTTTGTGACTCTAAGTGCTTTTCAAACATCTTCATTAAATTTTCCAGACTTCTGGCATTTTCCTAATCCAATAATGCAAATTGTATGTAGTATAACGAAGTCAAATAGTTCTTAAGTACTAATGAGGAAAGATTGTGTCCAGAGGCAAGGAAAATTCACACCTTCTAGGATCCTAGCAAATAACAATGTTACATGAGGATGACTAATTTTGATAATGAGTTTCAGATGGCCTGACAGGGTTATGTATTTTTTTTGTTTTTCTTCCTGGTGCTAGGGATTTAGCCTGGAATCCCATGAATTCCAAGCATCTGACTGAGCTACAGCTGCAAGTCCTATAATGAATTTTTAAAAACAAAATATTTAGTGTAATTTGATAATACAATGCAACAGACCTCAAGAAGTTTGGGGTGGTGGGGAGTGTCTGTGTGTGATCAATCGAGCAGGGTTGAACGTCACCAGCCAAAGGACAGAGGGTCAGGAAGCTGGGCTGACTACCAGCCCTGGAGAGGTCTCGCAGGGTCAGAGCTGTGGGATCTGACACCCAAGGAGGGGAATCACTGGGACTTGTGGCTTTGAGGCCCCGGAGTCCTGGGCAGCCCACCCTCTCTGTCCCTGAGATGGGCTTGGAGAAGGGTCTCACCTTTCGAGTTAGTCGCCTCTTGATCTCTCTTTTCTCCTCCTGTTCCTCTTGTTCATTCCGAGCTGAAAGAAACAGTGAAGATGCTTTTGATTTCAGGGCAGCAGGTCACACACGGGTGCTTCCTTGGAACCACAGCTGGTCTAGTCCAGGGACCTCCATTTGAAAAGGGGACGAGGGCGCTCCCGTCGCCTTCCCCGGCCACCCTTCTGCCTACGGGGACACTTCCAAACTACCTGCGCTGCTTTAAACCCATAGTGAGCAGGGTGACCTTGTGCCAGGTGGGTTCTGGCTCCCCAGGCCGAGATGCTGGGCTGAGAAATGTGTGACAAAGCAAGGAAGTTTGGCCTCTGGGGAGGAGGGAGCTTCCTTTCTCTGGACAAGAAGGTGGGCCTCACTCACAGCCTCTGGAGCCTCTAGAGACCGAAGGGCTCATGGCCATGTGGCCCCAGTGTCCGGTACACTGTGGGGTGGATGGCAAGGCAGGCCTGCACCCGGTGCAGAGAGAAAACCAGGCTGGCAGGCTGCGCCAAGGGGAATTTCAAACCGCTCACCTTTCGCAAACCCTGATTCCATTAATTCTTTGAATCTTCCAAGAAGTCCACAGAACATGTGTGAGGCCAGAGTGTGGGGTACAATTGCCTGCATTTAGGCTAGTAAGGGGTGTCTTAGAAGACTTCAGAGCTTAAAAAACGTTCTCGGCTTAAAATGTGGGTGACTGACTTGGCAGAGTTTTAAAGAGCCGAAGCAAGAGGTTCTGGGAAGGGAGCAGATAGATATTCTAGGGGCAGAGAATATGGGCTTATCTCTTCTTCTCAGCTAATCAATGACCTTGGGTAGATCATCACTTCCCTCTGTGCTTTGGAAGAAGTCCTTGGTATCTACGGAAGCACACATATCAATACAGTATTGTCGGACTTGGAAAAAAATATCACGTCATGCCAACGCATGTCATAGAAGACCTGTGATTCCCACCACTGTGTTTATTATGACATTGGTGTAAGGAGACCAGAAGTTGATTTGGTATTAACATGTGGTATTAAGAATACCTGTTTTTTTTCATTTTGCAATCACAATTATGAAGTTGCATTTTGATAATACTTGGCTGCATTGCACACTTGATACCTCGGTGGCTTCTCATTGTCTAAGTATGGACAGATCTTCAAAAGAGGGAGACCCCTGTGCATAGGAATGGGGGTGGGGACTGACTGGTAATCAGTCCCACCCCACATAGCCAGAGCCATAGCCAGATCACACTGACGGTGACAACACTGCCCATGGAACAGAGTGGGGTTCTGAGCAGAGCTCAGGTCCTGATTGACACCCCCAGGGCAAGACTTTGCAGCCTTGACTGCCTTTGGGGATTAGAACCTTGTATAGGGGCAGCACAAAAAATGTCCACGTCCTGCTGTGGGACAGGTCACCGGAGCCACAGAAGCCCGGAATCCTCCACCATTGCTACTCCTTCCTTTAAAGTTCCTGTCTCCCTCTTGGAATTTTGTTTAACAATGCAAATTTCTTTTAGATTAAACTAGTCTGCCATTAATAGCTTAATATGAATTACTCTATCAGTTATAGGTTGGGAGGCAGACAGCAAGACCCAGGAGAGGAGAGATCCCCCGAAGAGTAGGATTCGTGAACATGCAAACTTCCCAGAGACAAAAACCTATGAAACTAGTTAGCCATTAGTACCTCACTATGAATTAATCTATCAGAGAATAAACTGGGAGGCAGATAAGAAGAATGGGATGGGGGACCCCAGTCAGCCACGTTTGTAGGTGGGAGAGAGAAAGAAAGGAAAGTAGCCTGGGAGTCCACCCCAGAGGCAGCCCAGGACACCTGGTTAATATTGACAGAGACCACCGACCACCACCTTGGAGGGCACGTCCCAAGTCCCCCCATAGGGTTAATTAGTTAGGCAAACACTTGAGCTTTCCGCCTTTTCCTGCGGTCAGGTTTGATTCTCTCGGGGCCAGCCCTCCTCATTACTGGTGCTGTCCTCACACTTCTGACCCTACAGGATCCTGCTGAGTCACTAAGGGGGCCATTCTGTGCCAGAGGTGACACAGCATGGGCCTTCATCTCCTACATGCCTTCCTGCGGTCCCTCTGAGGGGCAGGGTGCCCAACTGCTGCCCATGGAATCTATACCTTTAGTTCAAAGCCATTTACAAACCCAGTGTCATGAATTCTCAGGCAGAAGCTGCTAAGACAACCCCGTAAGGCAACTGGAAAAGAGGCCAGGAAAAGCCTGTGATGTCATTCTTGAGGGTGCCACCATCAGAGGGTGTCCATTATGTGCTCAGGTGTGGACAGAGCAAAGGCTGCTGCTGGGGCCAGGCAGGGAGGGGCGGCAAACCCAGCCTCAGCTGAGTGCTGAGCTGACTGCTGACCAAGGGGCCCCTTTAGCCATTTAAAGCCTAGAAAATAAGTTTCAGAAGAAACTGTCTGAGCATGTTTTTTTTTTTTTTAATCTCAGCATTTTTTTATACCACTAGACGTTTTTGTTTAGCAATCAAAGTAAATTAATGAATACATTAAAAAGACAACAAATTTAGAAAAATAAAACAACAAAAGTTTCAGTATGCAGGAGAAAGTAAGAACCCATGGGGGGGGTGGGGTTCTACAGAGTTTTGAAACTGGGAAAAGATCAACCTGTTTGACTTGGGCCAAGCTTTGCTTTAGTTTGTAGCTATTTGACCAGATGAAAAGGAAGAGGGTACACAATAAAACAAAGCCATGGTGACAATCTTTGGACTCCCATTTTGGTCCCCCTAGACTTACGAGCACAAGTAAATGGCAGTGAAAACCAATCTCCAGGGATCTGCCCGGCTCTGGGCCAACCAGAGGTGACAGCTTGGGACTTCGGACCTTCCATGTCTAAACCTGACTGAAATAAGCCCTGTCTTCTAAAACCTCAACGATCCCCAGAGGTCTCCCTCCTCTTGGAGTAGTGTCAGATCCGAGGCCAGAAGTCCCACGGGTCCCGTGAGTGAGCTGTACGCAGCCTCCTCGGAGGACAGCAGACCCAGATCAGCTACGCGTGTGGGGCGAGGCGGAAGAGAGGAGGAAGTCGGGTTATCTGATTTCTGATTTTAGGAACTGATGTTCACCTCTTGTTTTTCTTTCTCTCCCACAATGGAAAGTTTATAATGGATCAGGTCAGGGAGCAGACTGGGGCCCAAAGGGAGCCATTACACAGGCCCAGGTTTCCCCAGCCGGGGCTCTGCCGCAGAAGTCCCTACTCCACTGGCTAGCACGGTGGCCTTAGAGGACTTTCAGGGCATTCGTGGGTTAGAAAAATTATCCCACAGATTCCTAGAGACCTAGGAGACGTGCAAGGTGCCCTGGGACTGAGGAAGGTCCTCCCTGAGATGGCTTTCCCTGAGCTTTGGGGAAGTGGTGGTGGCCGTGGAGAAGGGAGGCCGGATGTGAAGACAGGTGACTGTGAAGCAGATGGACACTGCAGGAACTGCACGTGCCAACAGCCTTCTGGGGTGGGTGAGAGTCAACACCCTCCCTTGGCAAACCATTTAATGCAGACCAAGTCACAAGGCCACTGGGAGAAAAGCAAAATCAAGAATAAGTAAAACATCCAGGCACCCAGGGCATGATCTTACATGACTGATACTTTCTTAGACTGTAAAATTAAGTGTTTGAAAGATTGTGCATGTATGTGCGTGTGCATGCATGCATGCATGCGTGTAATACAGAATGTCTACAAAACTGCACAGGCTTGGCACAGGGGCACAGTCTGCCATCCCTGCAACTTGGGAGGCTGAGGCAGGAGGACCACAAGTTCAAGGCCAGCCTTGGCAATTTAGCAAGACCCTCAGCAACTTAGAGAGACCCTGTCTCAAAACAACAACAACAACAACAATAGCAAATAAATAAAAGGGACCGGGAATGTGGCTCCGTGGTAAAGCGCCTCTGGGTGCAATCCCTAGTACCAAAAACCTGAAACCAAAACAAACAAAACACCTGTGCCATTTCTTTTTCCTGGAAAGAAGTTAGAAGGGCGTTTGTGGGTTGGGCTAGAAAGTACCATGAATTAAACTAAAAAACATTACTTGTCAGCGATGCTGAGGAAAGTGTTAGGGACAACAGCAGCAATGACCCGTAGATGTGAGCAGGGTGGTGGGATTTAAAATCTACTTAACATCTTCCACCACACCAAGGTATACTGGTGTCTAAGACGTGCTTGCTTTCTTTTAGTATTTTGTATTCTTTAATTCTTTAGCACCCAGTGGATTCTGTCCCTATTCAAGCATCCTGTGTCCTGAACCAAACAAGGAGCTCATTTATTTTTTTCTGTCCTCGGCCTCAGTGACAGCTGGCTTCTCCAGAATGAGACTGTCACGTGGGCTTACCCCAGGCCAGTGGGATCCTGAGGGATGTGCCTATGGAGCACAGTCACTTGGAATTGCTTTCTTCGACTGCAAAGCTAGTGTTGGAAAACTCTACCCACAGCAGCGAGCTGCCATGGGAAGTTCTGTTTTGTGGTCTCAGTTTTCAAACGGCTCTTCCCCTTCAATACCCTCCTCACTGTTTTGAAGCCCATTTTGATTTAAAGGTGACCTGATCTCTCTTCTCCACCACTTAATACTAAGCACTCGGGCTAGTTTCTCCGCGTCTCTCTGGCTGGCACCGCAGGAAGGTGCTTTAGCCGTCTGTGAGCTTCCAGCCAGCAAAGTGGAGCTGTGACATCCCACTCGCCTTCCCCACGGGGAGGTCCTCTTTGGTGTCTAACACACGGGGACGAGCCTCCACCAGGGGACAGGCTTTCAATCATTTCTGCCCAGGCTCCAGGTAGAAACCTGGCTACCCACCACTCAGGAATCAGGAGAGTCGCCCCCGGGCGAGCGACTGTGATGGCCGTGAGCTTGGTCACTTACGTTTCAAAATGTTCCTCTGCTCCAGTTCTTCTGCAGTCGGCCTCTGGCTCAGCCGCCTACGGAAAAAATCCAGGAGAAGTTTTTGGACCATATCATATCCCCCCGGGGCCGTGAATCTCCTCGGCCCTTGTAGGTACATGAGGTGGAGCTGGTGGCCGGAGCCCTTGTGCCATGCTGCGCTCTGAAACACTGCCTCCTGCCACCAACGCCTCCTCAGTTCCTCAATTTCAACCCCAGGAAGGGCACCCTGCGTCACGGCACGGCACGCCGAGCTGACCCATGCCTTCCGCCCTCCGCCAGCCCCTCCCCGGCCTGCCCCAGGCCAGGGGACCGAAACTTAAATGGGCCTCTCCTCTCCACAGAAGTCCCTTTCTTTCCTTGTGGCCTCTTCACTTCAGGACCGTGGCCTCTTGCCTCTCTCCCCACCCTCCAGGCTGGAGCTAGCTTCTTGCCATGTTTGTGCAGACACAGGACACAGAGAGGCGCATGGCCCCGGGGGGCCCGTCAAAGAGCTGCCTGTCTGCCCAGAACAATAGCTGCTCTTCTTCTCGCGTCCCCACCCGAGCCTTATTAGACGTGGAATGACAAATGGACAGGCACAGAGATGACACTCCTGCTGCCAGGCATGTCATTCAGCCACAGCTAGAGAGAGACTCGACCCAGGGGGCGGGGCTGGCGGTGGTGCCCTGGGACAGACGGCAGGAAGGTGGCACCGAGGGGACACAGTCCCCAGGAATGGGAAAGGCATCCGGGTCAGAACTGCACTTTGGTCCACCTGGATGAGTCCCAGGAAGGATGGGCACCTACACAGTGGGCCTGCGCATGGACGGAGTGGGACACTCTGGAGTTGTCAGTGGCTGTTGATCAACCCTGTGACCCTTCAGCAGTCACCCCCGGGGGTGAGGTGAGGGTGAGAGGGGAACATTGTGGAAGGGACATTTAGGCTTCCAGAGCCTTCCACTGGGTCCTGAGGGGTAGGGAGGGGCAGAAACTAGTGTGGCCAGTTGGTGAGATGTTTATATTGTGGAATCTGAAGAGAGATCAGAATGTGAGAAAGCTGTCAGCATCAACGTGGAGTCACTGTGGTCAAGGCCGAACCACAGATCATAAGTCAAGGCAACCCAGGGGCTGGGAAGGAGGGATCTGGTGGAACCCGTCATAAAAGATTCCGCCAAAACCACGACCCTGCTGAGAAGCCACTGTAGCCTTGCTGTGGAGTGTGGTGTGTTCTGCTGAGTTACCCCGTGATGTGCGGAACCAGAGTTTTTAGGCTGAGCTGGAGCCTTTGTGGTTCTGTTGGAACACCAGTGTGCCATGAGTTACTCCATTCTCAGTTTAAGGGCTGACGTGAAACAATTCTGTATCAGCCTGGCACAACCCTAAGGCACAAACCGATAAGTAAGTTAATCGTGCTGATGAGAATGACCACTGCAAACCCGTCAAATTAATCCGGAGCACGTGGATGCACGGTCGAACCAAACCCAGGCGAAGCCAGGCACACGAGCTCGTCAAACATGCCGGACTCCAAAAGAAGGGACCTTCTCACTCACAGCCCGTAAAAGGAGGAGCACCTGAGACTGGCACTGTGGCACCCTGACCTGGTGGCCTGGTCACTCTTCATGAACCTTGCCCAGGAAAACTGCTACAGTGACAAATGTCCACATGGCTGTCCTTGGGTTTTAGCAGAGTGCAGCTTCTTCTGCCTGTGATGACCTAAGTCCTACTCCAAGGTGACACTGTGAAACTGCCATCTGTCTGAACCTTGGCCTAGAATAAGTTCCTGCACTTTGTCAGTTCTGAGCCCTGAACAAGTTCTTTGCTGGTCTTAATCTTTTTTTTTTTTTAATTAATTAACTTACCAGTACTGGGGATTGAACCACATCCCCACCCCTTTTCTATTTTATTTAGTGACAGGGTTTCACTCAGTTGCTTAGGGCCTCACTAAGTTGCTGAGGCTGGATTTGAACCTGTGATCCTTCTGCCTCAGCCTCCCTCATTGCTGGGATGACAGGTGTGTGCCACCAGGCTCTGGCCTTGGTTCTTCATCTTATCTGACGGTCTACCATGACTCTTTGCATTCATATCTGCTCTCTACCTTTGCTCTCGGTTCAGCCTCCTGAGCCCCGCGGCTGCCCTGACCCCTTCCTAGCCTTCCTGTAATAAATATAAAATTGTGTAAAGTGTAAAGTGAGACTTGAGTGTTATTGATCTTAGACACTGAGATAGGAATAAAAGAGCCTATGGTTGCCTGGTTTATGATGACCAGGTGACCCACAAGTGTTCAGTGAACTGTCAGTGATGAACACGGTGTCACCTGAGAGTTTAGTGTTTTCCATCACATTCTGACATTGTGGAAAGACACACACATCTGGTCTATGTTTGTGACGTAGCATGCTCATGACATATACCAAAAGTGCTTCTGCAAGGACATCTGCCCAACAACTGGCTCTTCAGTCTTGGACTCTACCACCCTTGTTACTGATCCCTCGATAAGTCACTGTCATTTAAAATAGCTCATGTGACCCTCTTCATTTTACCTTTAAAAATTTCCCCCACCCAACTCCCTTGCACCTGTTCACAGCCCACGACGACACGTACATTCCCGCTGCAGGGCTCTGCTCTTTCCAAAAAAATGCCTTGATTCTTTGGAGAATCTCTCCTCTGATTGTCATTTAGGTTGACACAGATGAAAATATAGTTCATGGAGTCTCCAAGGACCTCTTTTAAGTTCAGGACTTACTGTCCTGTGGAAAATCCGCAGCACCTTGTTGGAAGTTATATATTCCCAAGTGTTTTCAGGTTTCTATGAACATTTTCACATTTTTTATTCCTTTTCTCAAGAACATTTCTGTGGCATTGCATGGGATGCACTGGTCTTTGTCTCTGGTTCCTCTTGCAGAGAACCTACAGTCCTTGAGATTTCCCGAGTGACAGGAGTATCTTATTCCTGATGAGTCCCTTAGGATCACAGCCCGGTGACACACCAAGATAGCCTCAGGGTGGGGCTGGTCACCAGAAAGACCAATAACCAACCAGGGGCTGGAGATGAGCTCTATAAAAATTCTTGAACAATGAATGACATTTGATGAGCTCAGGCTGCTGAAACCTGGTGGCACTGGGAGGGTGCTGTGCCCCCAGGGGTACGGAAGCTCTGTCCCCCCGCTTCCCCACAGAACTTTCTCCTTCTGTCCTCTCATCTGATGCTTTCTAATGCCATATTATTGTGTCACAGCTGTCTAGAACTTTTTTTATCTTGCAAAACTGAAACTTAATACACACCCAACAACTCCCCCAATTTTTAGTGTGATGTATGGTTATTTTTAATGCAACTTTTAAAATGTTATTGTGTTTTTTTATACCTTTATTTTATTTGTTATATTTATCTGGTGACAAGGATTGAACCCAGTGCCTCATGCATGACGGGCAAGTGCTCTACCACTGAGCCCCAGCCCCAGCCCCAGCCCTTTAGGCAATTTTTTAAAAGTGTAAAATTATCAACCCTTCATTGACAGCTTCTGGAGTCATGCCTCAGCATACCACCAACCCAATATGCAATTATAAATAAAAATTATACAGATTTCTTCTAAAAAGCAACCACAACAAAAAACCTGGTGAGCGTGACGTGCTCCCCTGAGTTCTGAACTGTGAGGGTCACTGGAACCCCAGATTCACAGCAAGTTGGTCGGAAGCAGAGGTGACCCATCCCTCCTTGCCACTGGCATCAGAAACAAGGACAGCCTTCGGGGGCTCTGTGGGATCTGACACTAAGTGTTAGAGTGAAAATGAAGGACAGGGTTCCTAGTTGGTGTTCCCTGGAGAACTGCTTGGAGTGTGGGAGAAGCCCACACATCTGGTCCCAGGAATGCGCCCTGCTCATTGAAGGCATTCTTTACCCCCACGGCCAAGGCTAGTTGTGCATCTGGAAATCCACCATGTAAACAGCTTTCTCTCACGGCAGGGGAACCTGGTGATCACACAAGGGAGCAAGCAGGAATGTAGCCTACCGGCCCCACGTGCGTGCTCTCCTCACCTGTCAGCTTCTCCCTCCCAACACCTGTGCGCATTACCTCTGTGGGAGGGTCTGGGAACGCCCAGGCTTCGTGTTTGAGGGGCGGTGTGTCTTGAACAAGCTGCTCAGGCTCAGAGGAGCTTGCCTCTTGGAGATCAGGCTCATATTCTGGAGTCTTATGTTAGGGGGTGTCCAGACAAGATTCCCTCACTGGGTTCCGCCGAGGAGCCCGTCGATTCCATGCCCAGACACGTGGCCTGATTCTGGGCTGGTCTTTCTCATCTTAGGAGAGTGGCAGAACATGAGTTAGTGAAGGAGAACTTGAGAAAATTCTGTGTTCCTGACCAACACAAGTGGTTTCAAAATAAAAACGATTCAGTTTTCATTTCTCTCAAAGGGTTTGAGGACATGAAGGTAGATCTTAGTTCCAAAGTGTAGCCAAGCTCCCCTCCTGGGCATGTGCTATCACTAGTTGTTTTGACTCTGAAAATGAGATTTGTGGTAGGAAAAGGAGATTGTGGCATTTTTTTTTTTTTTTTATCACAAAGCACCAAATAGCTCAGGACTTAGGGGTCCTGGCTCTCCTGGTACTACTAGCCTAGGACAAGGTGAATCCTGCTAAGGCCTATGTTCTTTTTCCTCTAAAGAGTAAATAATAATCGAATAAACTAATGTTGGCTTAATGCCTAAAGCACAAGGCACGGTTCCAAACACTATGTATAAAAATTCACTTCAGTTCCACTTCAAGATCCTTAACTTAATTAATCATAGCTGTGAACTCCCCTTTGTCATGTGACCTGGGGATTAGGATGGGGACATTGGGGAGGGGTGATGACAATCGTCTGTCTACCGCAGCTGCAATACCGCTTCCTCATCAGATGTTTGCAAAGTGACATCGCCCACTGCATTTGACTCTGCAGTTCTCTTTGGCAAGCTCAGAGGCGGCACTGTTTTGAGGCTGAATGCCTTCAGATAGGGCATGCCCACTGCTGCTAGCCCCTGTCCACCGCACTCACTCAGACCCGGCAGGTGAGGGCACTTCTATGT